CTTGTGTGCTCCACTAGACCACGCCAAGATCAGAACCTCATCGGGCATGTCCCACATTTACTGTATATACGATAACCCCGTCTGCAAGACATCCAAAAACTGATGAAAAAGATCATTAAATTTGCGTTTGCGGCTGTTAGATTTACGAAAACCAAACATTCAAATACCTTTGAAACAATTTCATCGGCAAAACTGCCAAGACGCGCCATGATTTTCTCAGTTGTTTTTAATTTACCGCCAAAAAATTCATCAAAATTCCCACCATCAACTTCATCGAAATTAGAAAGCAGTGCACTGATATCGGATTCATTCCACTCCTTCGCTTCAAGCATCTAGGGTAAAAGAAATACCTGCACATTTAAAATGAAATGCAAATAAAGAAAATTACAAAAAGGATTCCACTGCATCATTTATAATGAGAAGCTAGATTCATTAAACCAGATCTCAGAGGGATCAAGGGGGCCTGAAAAGATGGCAGAACGGTTCTCCAGTAAAACGCACTACGGCAAATGTGCCTCAGTTAGGCTGTTTATGACAGAAGTGAAAAGGAACCTCAATGAGCTGAAGCAGAACAGCCTCGGCAGCATCACGCAACAAACGGAATTCGTTGTTTTTTCTTACTGACCTTATCAAATGCACAAATTCCCTCGAAAATATCAACAGCAACTAAACAAATAAGAGCTTCAAAACGCTTAGGCATCACGCACTCACGAGTAAATCATTAAAAGTTCAATTAAGTCAAATACTGGAAAGAAAAGCAATCGATTCCTGCTCTACAGGTCCGATCGTTTCAGCATAGTAAACAAGGTCTTACGGGTAATAGCTACAACCACAATATCTAGCTATTAAAAGACTGAAACTTAAACCTCATTGGTTTGAAAATCAATCTGCTGAAGCGATTTACTAATAAAATGCAGCGAACGAGATAAGGCCTGAAAAAAGAGGTAAATTATAAGAATCAAATGAAAAATCAGCTCAGAAAGACCTACACTGCCGCAGCCAGATTGCTAGAGAAAAAAAAAAACTCTGTAATTACTTTGTGCGCATCACCATGGTACATCCACTTCTCAATAATTTTACGATAAACAGTGTCGAAATTGCCACTGCTGCGAGATAATATCAATAACTTGAATAGTAAGTTCTGTACCGCGCACGCATTTGTTTTCTAGAACAGATTAATTAAAATTTTCGTCAAAATCCTCGAAAATTTCGTCTCACCAATCGTTGATGGCACCCTCAAATATCACCACGCTGCCCTCAAAAACAAAGGGAAGGGAAAAACAAAGTTTAACAATCGTCAGGTGACGTAATCATAAGGGAAGAAAGTATGATAAACAGGCCCAACAGGTTCAAAATTTAGCGGCAGAAGTGCCTAAATTCGTTGGAAGATTGGCATTGTAAGGAATAAAAATGATGCTAAGATAAATTTGAATAGAGTGACTCAAAAGTAATGATTAAAAATTTAAGGAAAAGCTTAGTTATAAACTTCGCTGCCATTTTTACAAAGCATCGTAGCTAAGGCGCATTTTCTGGCTCTAAACGCGCCAACGTATGAAAAATGCAAACAATAGAGTAAGTAACCTTCAGAATATTCACAATTTTATCGCAGTCAGCCTCGAGGAAGCATAATTTTCCATTGCTTGAAATAAATGACACTTCCGTTTTTAACGCATCCTGTAAGCCATCTGTCTCCAATTGAAACAGAACAAAATATCTATATTGGCCGAATTTCAGACAAGATTTCGAGCCCAACAAACATGCACCTCAAAACAATTAACGCCTTGCCAGAGCTGGTCATTTGAGCTGGTACTTCCTTCGCCAGGCAAAATAAGTGCCAGCATCGCTGGCGTAATTTCCAGCAAACGGTGCAGCACAGAACAAAGCAACTGGAAAAGCTGCGAGCTGCATAACTGGAGAACCAGGCCATGAAGTGTAATTAATCAGAGTGAAAGTGGAGAACTTCTATGGCAGGAGGTAACTATTTCGATTTCCTTCAGTGAAATGGCAAGCATGCATACTGCTGCAGATGCCGGATGGTAACTCGACATAAGCCGGCAAGGAAAGTATGGTCTAGCAGAGCTTCGTTTGGAGTTAGCAGCTCTATATATAAGTAACACAGATAATATAATAAAAATAGAAAAAAACAGTGTATTAAAAACCGATGAAAAAAGAGGAAGAGTAAAAGAGGTAAGAGTTGAGAATTACAAAATTTGTAGATTATAAGAATTTAATGGTAAGAAATGTTTCTGTTCATTAAGTCGTATACATTTCTTACCATTACCACAATTGGATCTCATAAACCGCGTAAAGTTGTTGCAATTCAAGAAGCAGCCAGCTATTATAGTAAAGTAGCTATGCGATTCTGCGATGAGCTACTGAGGGTTGGTTTTGCCTCGTCACGATGATTATTTAATGAAATTCATCAGATAATAATGCAACATGCATTTGATAATGCTATGAATTAGTCCAAACAAAACCGTTCTGATGTAATCCCAAGTGTTTTGCGTTATCCTGCGTCAAAATGCATGAGAATCTGACGTTTATGGACTTGAAAAGGGCAGAAGATGGTGTTTGTTTGCAAATTTTTTGCGTCCTAGCTTTCACAATCTTAAAGCTGAGTAGCTGCGAGAGACAGACATTTATGCATAAGCCTAAAAACACACGCACAGTCTTGTCATTATGCATTTTGTGTTTTATGTAAAAATATATAAAAGACAACAAATTATGCCAAACTGAATGGCTAATTATTACAGTACTTACAGTGTGATGTTCGAATACGAGAAGAATGAAAAAGAACCACTCCGGCGCTAAGTGATCCAAAGGCTTCGTCGCTTTTTCCCTAACCAAAGGCCAAAAGTATTTCGCGAACTGCTTCCTTTTCAATTTATTGGCAAGCTGAGCTAATAGATCAATGGACGCAAATGCTAGACCACTCTGTTTGTCCATTAAAAGTAGCTCACGTCTCACAATTTCTGCAAAATCCTGCAAAAAAATCGTATTTTCACGTTAAATTCAGAGAACAGAGAAACCGGGACAAAAAGAACTGCAGAATAACACATACGCCAATGTATGCACCACTGTTAACCATAGCTAAATGAAGCATATGCTGGCCAAGCACCGATCCACGATCCTCCTGCAAGCAAAGAAGCCATGAGAAAAGCTACGAATCATTAAAAAAAATCCTTTCAAGCAACTCTCACAATGAAAATAAACGCCCGTGCGCATCAGCGAACCAGTGCGATTATGCGTTTTTTGCAATTCAGTTCACCGAACGATTGCTTGCTAATGATTTTAACTGCTCTGAATTTAAATTTCAGGAGTCGCACGTGGGCAGGGAACAGTCCCCCAAAATTTCAACTTCCTAGATTCCGCGGTTCCCGAGGCAATAATTCACCCGTCAAAAGTTTCACGGGGCCGTATATGTTACCCACGGGTATGGGAAGGGTGAATTTAAATCTTCTGGCTCGCACATGAGCAGTGAACATACCGATAAAATTTTAGATTCGTAGCTTCAGTGGTTCCCGAGATAATAATTTCTCTCGTCAAAGCTTTTATGGGGTCGTACGTGTTAGCCGAGGTAGGGGAAGTTTGAATTTAAATTTGCGGAGTTAAACGTGGGTGAGAAACGTTCCTCCCCTAAAGAAGATACAACAAAAGTGAAAATATCACAGCGGACATCGGGAAAATGTATGCAATGAAAAAGTACAGTGGTCTGGTTGAGCGGCAGCTTCTGGTCGGCCAATTTGAGCAGTTCAGCCACAGGCCATTGCTCTGCATGAGTGCTGAGCACCACGCTCAGGGCACTGACATAGCCGAGACGGGCGGCGGCACGAGCCGAGCCCAGCCCGGCAAGCAGCCTTTCCATGGAATAGCCTGCGCGGGACTCCCACTGAAACAACAACAACAATTACTAATTCACAGAGAAACTTCTTCAGCGAACGCGCCCAGCAACAGGTGCCCACCTCGTCGATGAGTGTAGCGACAGCCTCGTGGCGCCTTCGCTCATCGAAATCGGCCAGATCGTAGAAACTCTCCAGCAACCCACTGCCCACGTCGTTCATTCCTGCAATAGCCACCAGTTAACTCAGAGCACATTAAAAGCGCACCGCCCGGCACATCACGACAAAACGCTGGAACCCCCCTCCCCCTGCTTCCGAGACACTCCACACTAAACTAATCCTCACAGACCGCGTCACAAACGTAACCGATCACCACCCTTCGCCTTAGCACGGCGACGCCACTGGCCACTCCTCGGCTATTACTAGAACTCGGCTCAGCCGATGCCATACACGAGTTGCGAAAATTTTTTCGACAATGGTGGGTGGCACAGATTTCGGTGTGGAAGCTGAGAAACCCAGGCTGGGACGCACCAGGCTGGCCGGTGCGATTATGCGTTTTTGCACTTTTCGTG